TATATAGTTCTTTTTCATTTTTACAAAAAATATATATGATGATACACAGACTGAGTATTTACACAAAGTCTCTATTTTAATAAGCTAAAAGACCATAGCACAAATATTATTTAGATGATAATCCCACTTTATTTGTTGTGCCTGTAAAGCTTCAAATCATAAAAAAATTAACTCATCAGGTTAGAATTAACAAAACTGCTAACAAAAATGTGGTTTCTGTCCCAACAGTTTTTTTTACAATAGGCTTGGGCAGTCTCCAGTTTTTAATGCCTTTAAGCCTCCCTCAGATTATAACGTGGTGCATGGCATTAACCTCTGCCTGCAATGCTTGTGAATCGAATTAATGCATGTCATTTAGAAGTAGTTCATAATGGGTTTTTAACTTTGCCTTTTAGATTAACAATGCAACAAACATATTTTTTTAATTAATCAGTTTTATTGCCTCACTAGGAACAAGCATTGCATTCACCAAAAAAAGAAAAAAATAGACTTCTTATCTCGTAATTACAAAATCCGTGTCTCATAATTTTGAGATAAGATGTTAGAATTACAAGAAAATAAGTGAAAAGGAGGAGTACTTCTTGAGGATCTAGGATTTTGAGCAGGTGCCAGCTGTAAGAAAGGGAACTATTGTTTTGAGTTTATGTTCCACCCWGACGTGTTAGTGTGTGATGCCTAATGCACGAGTGCCCAGACCGAGCCATATACGTATGTCACCAGAGTTTAAAAAAGTATTGACTTGCAAGTTGCAACAGGATGAAGTGTTTGCTGTGTGTGTAGAGGACGTAATATAACACTACATTTCTTTGGGACACCACCAAGTCAGCCTGAGTTTTGGATGCATTAGAGCGACTTCCAGGTCAGAGTGGGCTTTTCACCTGAACAACCCCCAAGAACTTAAGATACCGGTGCAATGTTGACATACTAATATTAATGCCATTCACATTACATAAACTCATTGTCTATTTTTCCTGTAGTGTATCAGCAATGCCTCTCTTTTCCATTTCTCTTAATYATGAGATCAATATCTTGTAAATATGACATATTTTCTTGTTATTATGACATTTTATCTCATAATAACTTATTACGAGATCAGGAGACTTTTTTCTGAATGCGCTGTTCTTCTGTACATCACAAACTGAATTTATTTAAACAGGCAAAATAACTGATTGAACAAAAATTTTATGTTATGAAAACCTCAAAATTCAACCTGTCACCACCAAATGTTACATTTTTTTAAAGTCCATAACATTGTAGAATCAACATGTAACCTCCAAGATATGTCCTTCCAGCAGGCCTACTCCAGGATTTTGACCTTTGTTAGGTCAACKCAGAAGAAAGCAGTCTGCTAACGTTCCACTGAAGCCCAGTTTGAAGGCGTGCTTGCAGGTGTTGTTATATTTCTGCTGTCGTCATGGATCAAAGGTTCACTACAACCTCCAGTCAGCTCTGCTTTTGCTTGTTTGATTTTCTATTTCTCTGCTTCTGCAGGGGTTGCTCACAAACGATTTGTAAATTAATTTATGCCTGATGCCCTTCCTGWCTCAACCTGGGTTCAAACCCACAGCCTACCACAGCACTGACCAATCTCCTCGTTGGAGACTGGCTGGCAAATCAAAATAGCAAGAAAATGAAAACTAAAGGCACTTTTTTTCTGTTGCAGTCTCACAGCAGGCACTTGTCTTTTGTCCAGCCAATTTGTCAAAATCACAAGCTGTTTTTGTGCACACAGCTTGCAAAACTGTATTCTAGGCTGTACATGTAGTTTTGTTGCCCACTTTCCTCAGACCACATTGGCTCCAGTGCTCTCAGATTTGCAAAAACTCAAATGAGAAGRGCTTGAGATGGGTTCAAGATGCACACAATGCTCTGAATGTTTAAAAAATGTGCACACGGCTCATCACCATCATCAAAATATGTCACAAGAAACAGGACCAAAAGCTGGAACATTAGTTCCACCTAGTCTGGCTGCATTACAAACTGTTTTAATTCCTATAGTTAGAACTTTGCTACTAAATGTGCATTTTTTTTCAATATGGTAGTTTGGTAGTTAAAATTTGTTTTCAACAGCATATCATATTACACTGTGTATTATACCTCAGTTTCGTTTTCTGGGTAGCAGGGGAGGTGGTGCAGCAGTAGCTGAGGTAGAGGCCAGGTAGACACACCACGAGTCCATCACAGGGCCAGAGTGCTGCCCAATTAATTCATTTAGTTAAATTATTGCATTTTATTGTTAAGAGTTCTGTCAATAAGGAGGTGTTTAAGTTATTTTATCAGGATTAAAAGAAAAATCACTAAATCGCACCTGTGGTGAGTGAGCTTCACAGTCAACAAGGTGGAGTTGTTTACATTGAATTCTGTAATGCTTCCTGCATACATAGTATCGCTCCAGCAAAATAAATAAATAAAAAAATCTTACTGCTGCACCAGGAATGAGAAGAAGACTTTAACCAGGAAGTATCCTCTTCATTCACAAACATACCTGCAGTTTGAACTCCTGTGTGTGTGGCCAGGAATAAATTCACAATAGAGTTTTTTAAAGACGGATGTTCAAAGGACACTTTTATTTATGTTAACAGAGCTACACAGACGCCTGCATGCTGTAGCGTTAGTAGCTGCCTTGTTTAAGTTGTCCTCAGATTCTGTCTTATGAGACCTGGTTTCATGATGCTACTGTTTTAAACACGTCATTTTCGGGATTTTGGTTCATTTAGAATAAATGTGGTGAAGTTTGCCCTGAAAAGCACAGGATGAGCAGAGATTTATGGGTCTGATGGCAGCAGCTTTGAATAAAGCTGAAGTAACTCATTCCATAACTGACAGTGACACCATTTGTGCTGAATAATCCTGGTGCTTTTATACCAAACAGACAAAAACTGGTACCAGAGATATGGCTTCAGATTAAGATAATTGTCTCATTGTGTCAAATAATAATACAAAATTGTAAAATTTGTATTATTTATTATCAAACTTGTTCAACTTACAAAATAATAAATGAGGCAGTATTTTTAATCTATAATTGTTAGACTCTCAGATGACCATCTAATTTCAGGGAGAGGTTGGTAATCTCATTGAGTAAAGATTGATCATTTGTATCCTTGAAGACTCCTTTTAATCTTGTTATTCAGTGCCGTTCTCATGCCACAAGCACAACAAGCAGTCGATAGAGCTGCTGAGCATTTTCAGCTTAGAGCCGCAGCCACTCAGAAATCATCCTTCTGTCAGAGCGTGGCTGGAAACAAACGTCAGAAWCCAAACGGCCCTGCCAACTTAGAAAGTGTGTCTGTGGCGGCCATCTTGACATGAGTAGACTTCAACCGTAAATCAGTTGCACATTTATTATTGTGGAAAGTTCATTAAAACCCATTCAGTGGTTCATGAGATGTACAGACCTTGCTTACTGCTCATCTCTCCTTGTCCTTCGCTGAAACATTAGAGCAGCAAACCTTCTGTCTAAGATGTAAGATGTACATTAAGGTGGTTTACACCTGGTCTTCTAAAGGAATGCAGGTCTAAAATGGTGACTGCGTGAAAAAAAAAGTGTTTTCACAAAACAAAGAGCGCAGAAACACACAAGAACTCACCCTTAATTTCCTAAATATACCTTAATTCTGCTTTCCCATCAACCCGTTTTGCCTTTCATCTATTGCCGAGCATCTTAACAAGCAGGGGGTCTGTTTTTAGCTACTTTATGCTGTGTGTGTGTGTGTTGGTGTGTGTGTGTGTTTGTGCTCCTTGGGGCTTTTCACAGTCATAAGCTTTTGCCTTCGCACCATGAGGCAGAACTCTTGAATTTTTATGGGCAGCTACAGTAAGTTTATCAATAACTAAACAGTATTTTTATCCCACGATGGAAGGAAAGGAAGGAGATGGAGGGCTGGGGGGGTCAAACAGAGAGATGAACAACTTGGGAAAGAAGAAAGTGCAAACATAAAATAAAGAGTGTCTTATTGCAGCTTTATGTCACCTGTGGGGGGGAAAGGTGAAGTACAGAATAATCAAAAGAGAGAGATTCAAGTTGAAAAAATAAAAATGAATGGGATAAAGAAGATGCATTCAGTATCGAACAAGTATTTTACTCTTTTATGTAAAGACATAAATTAGTGAGGAACATGCAGTTATGTGCAAATAATGCTGCCTTTTGCAATGGATTAGGATGAATGAGATAAATTTAGGTCTGAGCTTGGGATCTGCACTTTCATGAAATAAAAAAAATGGTAACGGTTTGGAAAATCTTGTAGCGTCACGCTGGACAATATGGATTCTGATTTCTCCTGACAGCAGGGAAGGATTCGACTGAAAGTGTTTGATTTCCAAGCTTCTTTCTTGGATGTTGAGTTTGTGCGTGTTGATGGAGCGTTTGATGTTCTGGGGGGGAGAAGATGCTGTTTTTGTCGTTGCTTTGACACATCTTTTAACCTCTTTTGTTTTTATGTGAAGCCTAAATCTTTTCTCCACACAGCTCAGCTGTCTCGGGAGGATTTAGCGGTAGAGAAACATATAAGAACCAAGACTAATAAAGACATTTAAAGCCTGTTATCCTTTTACAACAACACACAAGGGTTTTCTATATATTTCATGCTAATATTGATCTTTGTTAGACTGAACGAAAGAAAAAAAATATGTATCTCCATGCTGGCTTCAGGTTATCCAGAGTAAAACCGTAAAAATAAAATCATACATCAATTTAATGCTCTTTATGTGGGTCAGAGCTCCAGCAGAAACTGCAGACCAGCCCAGATGTACTCTCCTGCAGCTCATCATCCATCTCCTTCTGTGGGATTTTGAAGCGTTCCCAGGCCAGATGGAATGTGTAGTCCCTCTAGCATGTTCTGGGGGTGCTTTCCATTTGGTTAATGTGGTTTTTTTTTTTTTTTTGGCTTCTCTTACTTCTAGCTTCTCCTCTAGCCCTAGCTCATCCCAACAGAGAGCTAAAGAGGTGTGAGGATGGAGGCAGCAATAAACCATGACTCATAGTCACATCACATATCAGCTGCCAAATGTGTGCAAAACAAACATGTCTTTGGCCAAAACCAAGAACGGAGAGGACGTGATACTAAAGCTTTCAATGATGAAAATGGCCAACATTAAAAAGTGTAATGGAAGAGAAATGTTGTAATAATAATAAACAGATTTGTTAGTGTCATCTGAGTCGATCATTAGCATATTCTCATATCATTTTGAGATCAATTTATGTTGCTACTGAAAATAAAACATTAACCCCATAAAATTCTGCATGTTTCCAGATTCAATGTTTTTATTAAAATATCTCATCATTAGTTTGCTGTTTAAATCAGAATGTTTTTTTACATTTTAGAAACTTAAAAAGTGTGTACAATTACTAGAGGCAGGCGATGCTAGAATTACAGGGCTAGTATTGATGATTACGATGCAGACCCTTGTAATTTTCACTGAACAGTTTCATCATTTTGCTTTTAGTTAGTCGATTACCAGTGGTGGGCAGCACTAATCTAAAATTTGTTGCACTAGCCCTAAAACACTAACTCAAATATTCAGGTCCCCTAATTCTAAAGCACTAATGCACTGGAAGTTTTAGCAAAAGCTAATTCTAAAGCAGTAAAATAACCCAGTCAACCCATGAAC